CCCGGTGAGCTGCCAGCCGCTGCTGCTCCGCACTGCTTGCTTCCGCCAGCTGACGCCGTCAATCATCGGAAACTTCGGAGAGGCCCTCTCCAGCGTCTCCGATGATTGAAGGCCTTGCTTCCGCTCCGCCTCATGTGAGTCAACTGTTGCCGCTCTTCTTCTGCCGCTCCGCTGCACGCAGTTGCTGACTCCTTTGCTCCCCTCTACTTGCCTGCTCCTCCCTCATCCCCTTGCTTTGCTGCTGATGCTCTGCTGCCGCCGCCGCTGCCGCCCTGTCGCCGCCACTGCTGCCGCCCCGTTGCCGCTGCTGCTGCCACCCTATTGCCGCCGCTGCTGCCGCTGCTGCTACCGCCGCTGCTGCTGCCCTGTTGCCGCACACAACCACCTGCCTTCCTGCCTCCTTGCCCTGCCACCCACCAATGCTGTCGCTGTGCCGCCACACATCAGTGTAGCTAGATCTTGCAATCATGAATACAATGCCTGTAGACTATGGCAGTGTCTGCGAGGGAGGGCCTACGGTAAGCAGGCCGTAGGATGCCTACGGCCGAAAATGCCGTAGGTGGCCTACAGCATTCCAGTGCCGTAGGGGATTAAAAATCTCCTACGGCACTGCCATATCGTCATAGCTAGCATCAGAGGTAGCTACGTTTTGGGCCGTAGGTGGCCTGCGGCCCTGAGCTCGGGATCCGGGAGTGTCCTTTGGCCTTTTTGGGCCGCCAGGGCCCTTTGGCCGGAATTTGGAGGACTCCTGCAGCTTTTTTGGGCCGCACGGGCCTTGCGCACGCAAAACAGCAGGGTCCCGCGCTGTTTTGGGCCGCAGCACTGGTACGGCCAAAAGTACGACTTTTTTGCTTATGTCAGCTCAGGGGCCCGCCCTGCTGTTCCGCGCGCGCTGACGCAGGCCCGAAGCCAGGGCCACGCCGACCCTGACGCGTCTTTTTTCTCGGCCGAGCGGGCCTGGTTTGAGCATTTTTGCCACCCGGCCCTCCTCCCTCTTCCCCCTCCCACCACCATCTCCCAGCCCAGCTCAGCCCTAGCTCCTTGCGCGTGTGCTTTCGCTTCTTCAGCGCGCTGGCCCGCCACCCAGCCCTTTGCCCGCTGGCCCTTAGCAAAATCCATCCGCCGCCCACCCACCAACCTCTCCTTCCTACCACCACCACCCAATGCCAGCCACCAGCACCCGCCAGCCAGCCACCCAGCCAGCCGCCCATCCAGCGCAGCCGCCTGTCCAGCCCAGCTGCCCGTCCAGCG